TTTTTTTTTTTTTTTTTTTTTTTTTTAAATAATGGGAACACATTTCCTTCCCCTAAATCCTTTCACTTTTAGGTTTAACATGGGAAGACATACGATGGAGTGGAGCAGCAGGAGCTTTGGAGGAGCCAAGGCTAAGGTAGAATCTGCCAGATTTCAAATGACAGTTCCACACCTCATTGCTAAGAAACTTCCTAAAACTGCCAGGATTCATCCCTCATCAGATGAGGGCTCCTTCTGCCCTGGCAAAAAGCAGAGAAATGACATTTAATGTCAAGAGGTGTCAAGTACATCCCCTATTATTGCTTTTCCCTTAGAGACACCGGGTCTTTAGCTGTGAGGGCCTGAAAAACTCCTAAAAAACCCAAATTTGCTCTTGGTTCTGCCAAGGAGAAATCTCTTAGAAAGACACCAAGTGTGGGTGACAGTAATGGGGGGGGGGCACAGATGAGAAAATGTTGTGACAGATTTTTCCAGGAATGCTGAATGACATTTAATGGAAGGAATTAGAACAGGACAAAAAGGATAYTGGCATGGGAACAAAACCTTTCCAGGTTCCTTCACAAGGCACGGAGAAGCTCTGCCAGCTCTACAGAAAATCCCTGTGGCCATGGGCAGATAAAGCAGCTCTGTGGAGAAGAACCTGGGGTTCCTGGTGGAAAACAGGGGGGGTATTCTAATTTTTTAATTTGTGATTTCTAATTCTGTGTAAATAAAGAATGAGAATTTTTAGTGTCTTTTTTAAAAATGAAGAAATGGCGCTTTTTTTTCCTTTCTGAAAGGTTCCCTGTGCTTCCAGCCCTCTATACAACTCAATTATACCCAGACCCAACAAATAATTTCGATTTGGTGTGAGGCTTTCAAAGCAAGTTCTGTATGACAACAACAGAACAGGCTGGAGCACGTTCAAGTGGCTCCCTCTGATCTCAGAAGAAGCCCTGAGTCTCCAAATGGKAGCAAGATGTGCAGCTGAGGGAGGGATTTTTGCAAAAGCTCTATGCAAATGAGAATGATATGGCTCTCAATCATTTATAGAAAAATTCCTGCTGCTGCTCACCCAGACTGCCTCAAGATGTTCGGGTCAGGGGCAGCTGAACAGGGTGGAAGCAGGGGTGGCTTTCACTTCCATGTTTCTGGTGGCTCTAAAGCTCTGCAGGACAATCTGATGGATGTGGAAAATGGGAAAATCCAGTGCAACACTTCAAATGTCCGAGCCCACCATCCTGCAGTCCATCCAAAACCTGCTGTGCTCTGCTCGGGATTCTGTTTTAGGAAACAGAGCTGGAATATCTGTGGCATTCATTCCTTGGCAATACGATAATTCCTCAGCAATCCAAATTATTTTAATAGCTCCCTACATCTTCAAARTGCTGCTTTTCCTCTTTTTCCTACTTTTTTGACAGTGCTCTGTTGGGTTCCAAACCCCAGGAACAACCTGGGATGGTGGAAAGTGTCCACAGGGAGGGGGTGGGAA